TTGAACACTCGACAGATTCATAAGTAATATGTTTACAGCATTACAGGGACACTTGGAAAACACCTTAAATTACTGAAATGAGAACTTGCTAACAAAAACAAGCAAGGTTTTTCTTTTTTTTTTAATCTCCATTTCATTTAGCTTGGACAATAAAACTAAATTGGTCAGATTCCTTTCCTGATCCTGAGAAATTAATTCAACACCATCCTATTTAAGTATGATAAACCATAAAGGATTGTTCAATTAAAATAAAGCTGTTTTTATTTACCCCTCACTAAAAAGGGTGAGATTTGGAGGAGGAACAAATAGCGTATTTGCCAAAAAATATAGTTGTGGAGGTGGGAAAGCAAAACTGTTTGCAAATTTAACTTGTATTTGACAAGTAGTTTGAAAGTGTTTAGAACACAGCTTTCAACTTTGGGCTGACAGAAAACATGTTCATTTAGAAAAATGCCAAAATTTAATTTAAAAGCATTAAAAACCCACAATAAAATGTTTTGTTTGATTCCAAAGTATTTTTTTTTCAGTTCAGAAAGGAACTAGAAAGATTTTCATTTTGAGTTGATTCAAAAAGAGGGTTTTTCTCCCAAAAAATGTTAATCTCAGACAGCAAAACAAAAAAATCAGGTTTGTGCAGAGATGTACTTCTTCACCTCTTTGTAGACAAAACAAAATTATTGGCCTGAACTATTTAACAACTTCACTCCAGGATTTCTCCCTGTATATTATAAGAAATTAGATGGGGTGGAATATGTATGTGTGTATACATGTATTGCATTCTTTTCTGAGTTACACTAAAATCAAAATTCTAAAGTCAGCACAATCAAAAGGTTATATCCAGCAAAGAAACTGTCACACAGGGAATTTGAGGTCAGTGACAACATGCTTATATTATTCATGACTCAGAAGAACTGAAATAATGCAACCTTCAAAGCCGGCCTAGGTCTACAATGTAGTTGCAGTAAAGAAGTTTCCAGTCAAGTCCATGAAGTCTCACAATTTCTAATACCCCAACCACAGCACCTCATCAGTAATTGTTTGGGAGATAGGTTGCTATTTCTTTCTTTTAAAAGAAGACCAAACAAAGAGCACAAGGCCACACAAAATTGACTCCTCAATGTCAATATAACAATTTCTCCCCTTAATATAATGCATGTGAGCCTATTACAGTACAGCAGCAACCATGCATGGCAGTGAAAAGATTTCATTAGGATTGAAAAAAGCAGACATGTTCCTTCTAGTAGAACCCAGGAGGTACTGTATTAGTGAAACCTACTCTTCGACAGTAAATTCTGTAGATACCTCTTCTTATGTTTGAGTGTCCATTCTCTTTGATGTGTGTTGTGTCTTTGTGTTCTGGATGGAAAACGTGTGCTGGTACCACAAGTCAAAGAGCAAACTGCAGCTTGATTGATGGAACCCCTCAGGCCTGGAAGCCAAAAGCTGATGCTCTCTCTCTGAGTAGCTCCCGGCACAAATGACAACTCCAGCTCCCTGCGAATAAAGAATTCAATCTCACATGCACTGTATTAACTCTGTATACTTCGACTGCACACTAGGGATGGCTTCAATGCAAGAGTAGCTATTCTCAGCCCCTGAAGTTGGTAGTGTGTTTCTAAAGCAAGTACAACATTATTCCTTTCCCAACAATTCTGTTTATCTAGACCACCCCAAAAAATTTTAGTCAATTATCATATGCATGTCCACAATAGCTTTTGAATTTTATACCCTAAACCACCACTTCCTGATTAAACAATAAAATTGGTTATTTCTTCAATTTCCAAAGTTTCTCTCTATTGGGTTGATTTCCTCTCTATTGAAGTTCAAATAAATGAAACATCCACGTACTTAAGTTATAAATCATAATTATATGACCTATTTCTAATTATTGTTGCCTTACCCCTTTTGAAAATTCCAGTGCCCTCCAATCAAATCTTTCCTTCTTCTACATCAGGTTTGTCCAACATACAGCTGGCGGGCCGCCATGCGGCCCGCCAAGCCATTTTCTGTGGCCCGTGGTGCTGTGATGGGAAATGAAAGTAAACGCTGTTTACTTTTGTTTCTACCCCTTGTCCCTCCCCCAGCCCCTCAGCAGCTTCCTAATGGCTGCTGAAGGGCTGGGGAAGGGACAAGGTTCCCACACGCACCGCGTGAGCTTGACGTTGCCGACACAGTGCGGCTCCTCCCATCTCCCACATTAGGGTTTCCGTTCCTAGCCCCTCCCCTCCCTTCCTCATTTGCATGCCGGCCCCACCCTGCGCCAGTCCCTGCTGGCCATGTGGGCTGGAGCAGGTCGTAGTGCAGTGGGTTTGTGGGCACAGGGGGCACGGATGCCAGCTCGGAGGGATGCTGCGGCCAGGCCTGCAGGAGATGCTGCTGCCGCTGCTGCTGTGGCTGTTGGGGTGAGAAGCCAGCACTGCTCCTGCCTCCCCGCATCCCCCCGCGCCCGCAGACATCACACTGGGGGTGGTGAGTCGCAGGCCCCAGGGAGGGAGGGACCCCTGCTGCTTGGGCTCGGGCTCGGGCTGCCCCAGGGAATAGGGAGCAGGGGGTGTCCCTACACATCCCACACCCCTCTGTAGAGTCCCCACATGTCCCCCTGGCTGCTGAGCCCAGGTGCACAGGTGTGGGAGCATCCTTGAGGCTGCCCAGGTGGCAGGGAGGACACGGTGGGACCAGGCAGCACCCCTTGACCCCTGCACCCCCAGGCTGTGGCCAGACTGGACAGGCCGCGCGAGCGCCTGCTCCTGCCAGCCCACTGGGTGATAAAAAGTTCATGATCCCGCCCCACATTCAAAAAGGTTGGACACCCCTGTTCTAGATCATGCATAATTCTAGCAAGGAAGTAACATTGAATCTAAATTAGTTTTCTTTTATGGAGTATTTCAAACTCTCCAAGACTAACAGGTAACGTTACACAGGATCTAGATTCACCAAAATTATCAGCCTTCCCTCACACCAGACAGAAGCCTTCTCCTAACCTGGCCTTTCCCCACACCAGATTCTCTGGGCATGTCTACACATGCATTTACTCTGCAGTAAGTTACTGTGCAATAAGTGGGTTTTACACTGACATTTACATGTGCAGCCATTACAAGGCAGTAACGCTGTGTGTGGACTGACTTGGGATTAAATTAGTCCCAAGTCAGTTCACACACACACAGAGTTACTGCACAGTAAGGCATCTACATGTGCCTTACTGTGCAGTAACTGCTTGGATGTAAATGTAACAAGTCAGCATAAGTTGCCATAGCTACTGTGCAGTATGAGCACACACATGTAGATGCGTGGCTGTACTGCTCAGTAATTTTCAGTGCATGTGTTACTGAACAGTAACAGTGTATGTGTAGATACACCCTCTGTCTCAGACCTTCCAAAAGGAATTTTGTCTTCCTTCAGGCTGGGATCTTTGCCTTTGCTGCACTGATGAATGACTAGTTCCCATGTCTATGACCCACCTCAACTGAGGCCAGATTTTGGAATTCCCCCCCTTTCCCATGGACCTTTCTATGCCTCTCAATGTAGACTGCCAAGTCATGGTACCTTCTGGGGGCTCAAAGACAGGTGGGTTTAAACAGTACATATGATAGCCACGGTCACAGTCATCACAGAAGAGCAGCTGGTCCTGATGCAGGATTGGTGAAGAGAAGGATAAGGCGGGGGGAAAAAGAAAACATTATAGATTAGTCTATTGTTGAGGTGGAAACATAAGTATTTTGTAATCAGCAGTGCATAGTTTTGAACACATAGTTCGAACAAAAATAATATAGGGAACATAAATCTATTCACAGAACATCGCATTTCTGCTTCCATAATTGATCACCATGGGCACTTACACACATGCAGGGAGGCTGCTCCGACATGTTGTAAATCCAGTTGGTCAGAGCAGACTCAATTAATCTGGAACGCAGAAATTAATGCATTCCAGCAGCCTCCAGCATCACGTGTATCACTGTCCCCATGCTGAAAAATGGTGACAGGGCACTTTGAACTAAAACTGATCAAACAAGTTTAGTTCAAAGCGCCCCACCACCTTTTTTTCAGTGCAGGGACACTGATACACGTGATGCTTCGGTGCTTTTAATTAGTGTGGCTCACTAATTAAAGCATGCCCCTCCCCGCCTCCCAGAGCACATCTATAAACGCCCATTGTTCTTAATTGGCCTTAGTGTCCCTTCCTAGTCTTATCTGTGTCGTGCAAGGGAACTTGGAGTTTCTAACTGGAAAATCTCTCTGAACTAGACAAATCTGCTACTATATGACTGGAGTCCCCAGCAAGAATAAATAAATGGAAATACTCTGAATCTTACTCCATACAATCTGAAACTAACCTTCCCCACATAGTGGTGCTATCCCCTGGTGTTACCTACTCTGGATCTTACCGTCTTCTCACAACACTTCTTTCCTCAAAACTGAAAAGAACAAATTTGGAAAGACCATCTGTTTAGTGAATGAGGTCTGTTCAGTGGACCATGTGGACCACTTCTGGGTCATTACCAGTTCCAGCCAAGAACACAGTATTGAAATAGATTGCCCTATTATAGATTTTTATAACATGATCTTCTGGCCACAGTCCAGTTTCTGCTGAAATGGTTTCCAAATTGTGGTTACCAACATCTTAAGTGGTCCTTTAAGGCACCCAGGATGATCTTACACAGAAGTACCTAGAAGCTGTTCTTTCCAGATCAGGGCTGAGGGAAATTGGAGAAGCAGTAGCAGAAGCAGACTGACCCACTGCTGCTACCAATGTACTTAATATTCTGTAGCAAAACAGAAAACACCCTTTAGGTCAGTACTTGCAGTAGCTTCACCAGTACTAATTTTCATAAAAAGATAAATAAACTCACATCATTCTCAGAGGTCCCACAAAGGCTGCAGGATTTACACTCAATGCATTGCCACTGATAGGTTTTGACAGCCTCAGTCATGTTTGTGGTGAACTGCAGGCAGGTTGGGTGTCCTGGGGGAAATTAAAAATGACTGTAATGATTCAGGTTTACTTTTATTAGCATTAACTGTTATTAAATTTGGGGACAAAACGCACATGGACATGGACTGATCACAACATGGGCTGCAACTAACAGATACCAAAGAGGAAAGCAGGCATTAACCCTTTCGCTGCCGGGCACAAGAAAAATAAGATTCAACCCCACCCATTTTCCCATCTGCAAAGCAGTTTTTTTCAGAGCTCTTAAAAATGTTCTTTGAAAGAAAATGAGAGAAAGGAAGAAATCAGAAACATTCCCAATTTCAGAGAGAACCCATCCATCTCAATAGAAATTGGACTAGGTTTCAATTGGCAGTTTAATTCAACCTGATTAAAGGACCTGGTTTGAAAGGAGATTTTATTCCCATTTCAAAGCTTCCCTTCCTAGTGACCAAAGAGCTACAAATAGAGGAGCAATTCGAAAACTTAGCTGGAGAAAGAGGAGCAGAACATAGAGAAGAGGAAAGAAGCAGTATTGTGTTTTTAAGAGCTCTGTGCTACTAAAATTGGTTGGCACAGAAGAAACCAAATTGCACCGCTAACCTTCCAGGATCAAAAGAAAAGAACCCCAACAACTCCCAAAACAAACTAAACAAAAGGAATAAAGAAGGGAAAGCTAGCAGAACAGTCACATCTAATTGGGAAGGACAAATCGCCAGAGTTTACAACCCCACCCCTACATGCGTGTCGACTCCAGCTTTGCAAAACAGCAGTACCACAGTAGCAGGGTCAGCAAAGGGCTTTCTGGAGGGGAAAAATACAAACAAACAAACAAACAAACCAAAGGTAGGATCAGTGTTCCTTCTGCAAAACAAAATGAGAAAAAACACCACTGAAATCAAGTACTGTACCCCCAAAGCACCCTTCAAGACAGTTTAAGCCACCTGGAGTTACACAAAGTCCTTCTTCTCAGGTAACAAACATTTTCCATCTCTGACATGCACTAGTATTAATAAGCTGCATAGTGCATGGGGAAAGGTGGACTATAAACATACTTGTATACGTGTATGGATACATTCATGTCTACTGAATGCTAGTTCTAGACACTTGCAAGAATATAAAAAGTGTTCCTTTTTGTATGTCTATTATTATTGGACAGCTGTATCTAGGGAGGAAAAAATTCTTTTAATTTCACTGGTGTGGAAATATTTTTAAGAGGATCAAAGTAGAAAAGTGAAAGATACTTGGCTAGTAAGAAAAATAAGGCTGGAAATGGCTACAATTGGCATGTGTAAAGGAGCGTTCCTTTCATCACCAAATCCCTCAGTGGTGTGCGTCTCTGTTATACTTTCCTATCACTGCCATGTAATATTTGGAAATTTTTGTGTTTTCTAGTCTGCTAAGTAAATGGTTTCTGAGAATTGATGGGTACTTAAGTAATACTGTTAAAGAATATAAATAAACAAATGTCATCAATTGCTGTGAGAAAGATTTGGGTTTTCTGGTTATTCCAATGTGGTATTGGCATGAGAACTATGGACGTCTAGTAGCAAAACAGATTTTCGTAAGTTAACAAAGAAATAGTAAGTAAAGAAGAGGAAATACAAAAGGAAGGAGGGATCAGCATTAGAACCGGTCAATGTTATACTCTTGATCGTTCAGAAAAGTGATGGATCCAGACAAAAACCCTCCAGTTTTTGGAGCATTTGAACGTAGCACAGGGCTACATTCAAAGGACACCAATCTGTGTAATGGAGCAAACCCAAGAATCCTGAAGTCTGAGAATCCAGAAACAGACTTTCTGACATGCGCCCATCTTCAGTTCAGAGGGACTCAAATGATTCTTGCTATTACAAGGACCCTTAGAAGCTGACATGACACTAAATTGTTTCCTCCAGGGTTGACTCCCAGCCAAAACAGAGCTTCATTTTAATGTCAGGACACTGAAGAAACACTCCGCACTATGCAGAAGGGAAAATTACATTGGAACAGAAACTAATGGACTTCCAAAAAAAAAAAAAGATGCAGAGTGCTGAACTCAAAGAAGGCCGTTCAAACAAAGGAGCACCATTCTCTAACCATACAAGTGCTAAATTCTGCCACACATGAAATCAGCACCTGGAATTAAGTAAACTAAATCTAAATTAGTATGTCTGTGTGCATACATGCACTATCTATTATTCTTGACAATACCTTCCCCTCACTCAACTCCATAATGCAGGGACTACCTTCAATTGCCCTACTTATCCAGGCTGTTTCCAAATCTTATCACTACATTGTCCATCACATTTTTAGAATCTAATCTCTTCTCATATCCAGACACAAAAAATATTCATTCAGGACACTGCATAATTAGGGGTGGCCAGGTAGGGTGCCAACTTAGGAGGGGCGCCAAAATTGCCCCCCGCTCTAGCAACACAAGTAGCCCCAGAGCCTTGGTCTTGCAGCAGCCATTGAGGGCATGGATACCATGCTGCTGTTGTATAAGCAGACCATGCTGCAGTGGTGTTTTTGAGCCCCCTGGCATAGGTAAGACTTCTGCGCTCCTCCCTGGCTCTCAGACACCATGCCCATCCAGTGCTCTCCCTACCCCACACCCTCGTTTTGTCCATAGCACCAACCCTGCTTGTTATTCCTTTGATACAGAACCTCATCATTTCATGTCTTGACCATTACAGTATGTTCCCTCTCAGCTTCTCTGGCACCACATCACTTTCTATTCAAAATAAAGCACAGCTGCTGACACTATTGTTCCATTTGCATCTCCCTGTCTTTGGAATCGCTCCAATAAATTCCTCTCTGACACCACATGAAGTTCAGGTTTCCCATCCTACACCTGAAAGTCCTGCACTGCCTACCCCTGCCATCTTTATCTAGCATGTCCATTCTGTCCTTTGCTTTACCAGGGAGACATCAGCTCCACTCTGTGAAGGCTAAAATGAGGAATATGGGAAACAATAATAATAGTGCTTACAGAACATTTATCTTTAATAAAATCTTCTAGCACTGATCATGACACTTTGTTTTACAGGAAGAATAAGCATGATTTTAAAAGAGTATTGTCTCCCCCGCCCCCAGCTTCCATACCCTGCTCCAGAACTTTATTATTATCGAACAGGTTTACAAACAGCCAGATTGCTTGCAAGTCCTGAAGACCGGCTCTCTGTGTTTGATTAGGGTTTCTCTCCTTCTAAATTGAGAGATTATCCCAGAGACACTTCTCCCTCTAGCCTCCAAAGTCAGGATCACCGGCATATTTAGAAACCTCCTTTGTAGTTAGCACGACCCCTTCCAGACTGTCACTGACTGTTCTGAGAGCCAGATCAGGCCTCTAGCACTGGGAGGATATGTCAGAATGCAGTTCACAGTATGAAAATCAAATGCATTTTCTTGCCTATGGTCTCCCGGTTCCCTTCTAACCTAACCTCCCCACTGTCCCTCTGCCTTGCCCAAAGCTCTGTATTTTTTGTGACATGCTGAAAGCTTTACAGCATAAAAGAGAGATCTTGTAGCTGGGCTCCTGCACAACAAGCAGTCCCTGGCACTCCCCCTTCTCAGGGGCTTCCAAGCCTGGTGGAAGACAGGCTGATAGGACACATGTCTGGGTCTAGTAAGGACATATTTCGATTGGTTCAGGTTTGTAACAGAAAAGGTCTGTTGACAGTTACAGGTATTTCTGGAAAGGCCTGTATAAAGCGCAGCGGCTGAAATGACATGTGGGATGGTGCTGTGTGTGACAGGGAGCTGTAAAATGTTTTACTGCATATTTTCAGTGTGTATGCGATTGTGAACTAGGCATACATTTATTTCTATAGTCCTGTGATAAACTGTATTTAGGGTAATCAACACATGCAGTAAAGGGTCCATTAATAATTCTGATGATGCCAGAGTTATAGCAGACTCCAGATCACCCTCCCATTTGTTGTATCCTCCTCTGCAGGCCTAACAGAAGGAAAGAGCAGTAGAAATTTATAGCATTGCTGAAGTCAATAGATAGAACTCTAAAATATACCCAGCGCCGGTGAAGCAGAAAGTGACATGTTTACGTTGCCAGTTTTCTAACTGACCGTAACTGGGTTCTAACTACAACTTTCACTAGGGAACAACTGCTGTAAACAACATATATAGTCAAACCTGCACTAAGCAACCACTCCAAGGAATAGATGGCTTCAAAGGAAAAATCTTGAATGCTCCCCATCTTTATGGAAATTCAGATCTGGATCTGAAATCAGACCCATATCTCTGGTACCCGCATTTCAGGTGCCATTGTGTTCAGTTTTGCACCGCATCCATGAGGCAGTTGGGGAGGAATGGGGGAGGGGGTATTATCACTTAAGAGGGATATCATTAAGTATGCATCCAAAGGTGGCGCAGGGTATTTGAAAGGCAGATTTTAGCACAGATGCCTTTAAAACTATTTTAAATCTCTCCAGGCTTCACTGATTGTGTGACTCTAAAGACCAAGAATGACATCAAGGCCAGTAGTGATCAGCTGCATCCAGGCATTCTGTGACCAGTAAAGACCTTACAATGGCTCATTACTGCTTCTTCAATAATGAATTCTGCAGTGCAAGATTAATTGTGACCACGTGCTCTGTCACAACCACTATAGACTATTTAAATTAACAACCCAATCAATAATCCTTTCCAAATGAAAGCAAATATGAGTTTGAGACACAAATAAGCACCAGAGCTTTCTTTACAAAAAAAAAATAATGTACAAGAAGCAAAAGGGATTTTTCACCCAGTAAGAGTGCATCTGTCAGACAAAATTACTGTATTTTTTCAGCTCTCTCCTCTCTATTGTCTATATGGTGGTGGGTTGGTTTTTTTTAATCAATAGCATCATGAAAACCCCTGGGGCTCCTGGTTACCTTACATAAGAATCTATCCCGTAAACTATTCAGGTCTTTAAACAACCAGTGATATATTTTTCAGCTATCATGTCCAATGCAATGTCACAGCCATCCCATCCATGTAATGGAAGTTTTACATGCAAATGATTATAAAACCAAGACCTATCACCTTGCTAAGACTGAATAAGCATTGGTATAAGAGCTATTCACATGACTCAGTATTAGAAGAATTTCTCAAAAAAGAAAAGAGTAATGTGTGATTCCATCAGTCAGTGCAATTTATTACATTTAATGTACAAATTCAGTCTTCACTTATCTTCCTAAAAATGGAGCCCTCAACTCTTCCAGATACATAGTACTACATGTTCTAAGCATTTTAAATATGAGCCAGACCACCCCAAATGAGGTGAAATTCACAAGATTTTTTTTTTTAAATGTAAGTCCTATTCTATTTGTCTTCTATTGTTTGAGCCTTTGGGGGCACACTTTTCAAGCTTTTCACAGCCAACAATACGGTTAGAAAGATGGATTTTTAAATTAAAACAATGATTCTCTTGTAATCAGGAGACTGCGGGAACTGGGACTTTAATAAAAAATCACCATATACCTAAAGACTCAGAAATGCTAGTTATATATTTCTGGGGTTTCCACAGCATTTGGCACTTTCAAAGTTCTTCAAATACTTGGGCCCTTTTCATGCAAATAAATGGGCCTGGGGACTTAAATGGGAGTATTTATAAACATATGTATTTGTAGGATGACGATCTAAATCACTGATCACTATAATTTCTCTGAGCTCCAGGGAAGTCTCATAATCCCCATTTTACACATAGGGAAGCTAGTGCACATAGACATTAAAGGATGTGGCCACGCCCAGAGAAAGAATCAGTGTCAGAGAAGTGATTAGAATGCAAGAGGTTCACCCCCAGTCCTCAGGACAGACAACAT